TTATTATTATTATTATTATTATTTATTTATTTATTTATTTTCCATTTGACATTTACTTACCAAATAAGTTTTACTACAAAAGTTTTGGGGGGAAAATTTGTTAGGAGGATTTTACTTTTATATATATATAGAATAGATATAGATAGATATAGATATAGATAGATATAGATATAGATTATTATTTATTTATTTATTTATTTTTCATTTGACATTTACTTACCAAATAAGTTTTACTACAAAAGTTTTGGGGGGAAAATTTGTTAGGAGGATTTTACTTTTATATATATATATATATATATATATATATATATATATATATATATATATATATATATAGATTTTGGAGTTAAATGAGAACTGTACTATCCCTTTCGCGAGAATTGCGAACTACCTGCTGTTTTGCATCTTGTAATGAGTACATAATTATATCATATAAAATTATTTAGTGGGGGCTTTGGAAAATTAAGACTTAAATCATTTATCGTGTCAAGGAAAATGCGAGAATCATGAGCTGATCCCTTCCATCCCGTTGAAACGTACGTGAATAGCAAATCAAAGTCACAACATTTGTAGTTGGTACTCCTTTCCTTCCTCTATAACGCATTTGATCATCCTCAGGTACAGTTATTGCAATATGTGTACCATCTATAGCTCCAATGCAATCCTAGTATAATAATATAATACAATAAATATCAAATTTAGTCCATCTTCATAAAAAAAAAATAATAATAATAATACCAAAATGGGGTAAGCAACATACTCAAATACCTTAAAATGTGGCATATATCTACTATCATTGATAATTTGTGGTGGAATTTCCTTAAACTCGGGATTTTTTGGTACAAGTATATCTCTTGAAAAGCTATCCATAATATTTAGAACTTCTTTAAAAATTCTACTCACAGTTTCACCGGAATGTTGAAAACGCTCTTGAGTATCCCTATTAGGAGCACCCTTACTAAGTACATATACAAATAAACCCACTTTCTCCAATATCGACATCCTAGTTGACCTCAAACCATACTTGTTTTCTAAAACAACACACAGTTGACGAAATATATTTTGACTTATTCTAAAGGTGTTAAAACACCGCTTTTCATGACCATTTAATAATTCATCCATCCATCTTTCTCTTGTTAAATAAGAAGTCATACACGTTCTGTTGGGAAAATCCCACTTCCTGTGACAATAAAAAATCACAGAACCTACAGGAGTACAAACACAAGATGATGCACAATAGCCAAAAATAAATAACAATGCAAGAACACACGATTTACGTGGAAAACCCCAAAACCACGGGAAAAAACCACGTAAATCGTGTGTTCTTGCATTGTTATTTATTTTTGGCTATTGTGTATCATCTTGTGTTTGTGCTCCTGTCGGTTCTGTGTTTTTATTGTCACAGAAAGTGAGATTTTCCCAACAAAGTGGTATCAGAGCCCTGGTTGTTGATTGGGTACATTTGACATGGGGACAAATATGAGTAATATGACACGATTGAATGGTAGAAATTATCACATTTGGAAGGCCAAGATGAAAGATCTTCTGTTTGTGAAGAAATTACATCTACCTGTGTTTGCAACTGCAAAGCCAGAAAGCATGTCAAACGAAGAGTGGGACTTTGAGCACCAACAAGTTTGTTGTTATATTCGCCAATGGGTTGAAGATAATATTATGAATCACATTATCAACGAGACACATACCAGAAACCTGTGGGATAAACTTGAGACTCTGTATGCTTCCAAGACAGGCAATAACAAATTGCACATGTCACCAAATCCCAAAATTTGTCATCATTTTTCAAACTCTTTATATTGGAGATATTGTTGATTATATAGGACAAGTTGTCTAAGTTGCATATCATTATTATCCATACCTGCATAGAAACAAATAAAATTTACTCTATAAAACTTGTAAACACAACAAAATAATTTCATAAATTTGATAACAAAAATTAATAGCATAACATAGTTTGAAAGTTAAATATTCATAAACTTTCTTTACAAAAAAAGCTACACAATCCATCATGAACATCTTCATAAGTTTGATGGCAAAAAAGTAGCATAACATAGTTAGAAAGTTAAATGTTCATAAACTTTCTACACAAAAAAACTACACCACACATCATGATTAAAAGCTAAACAAGTTTAGCTTTTTGGATGCTTCTCATGGCCATGCAAGTACTTAATGTATCCAAGCCTACTCTCATCATCCAGCAAAAAAAAAAAAAAAAAAAAAAAAAAAAAAAAAAAGAAAGATCTTTTTTGAGGATCTTCAATCATTGTGCAAGCAAAGAAGAAATCGGGGGCATGGGGCTCCAAACCGAGCAAACTACACACTTTTGCCAAAGTATCTTCAACACCATACTTTGTTGTACTAGCAGTCTAGCATTCATTGAATTTATCACATTCATGTTGCTATTCATCAAGTTCATCATTGAAGTATCATTTTTTGTGTTGAAGTATTCCTCTCATTAATTTGTTGCATCAAGTCACTAAGCATTTGTTGGATTGTGGCAGCCCCTTCTTTTTTAGTGGAAGTCTTTGCACTCTTATTACTTTGTGAGATGAATCACCCTCAAAAGCCTTCTTACCTCTTCTTATGTCATCCCTCTCAACATGTGTCACTTGAGTGATATTAGTAGATGTAGGAGTAGGCCGGGGTAGGACTAGACTCTCTCCATACATCATCCCATGATGCTCCCCCATAGTAATTGTCATCACCATTATTAAGATTCATGTCATCAAGAGAAACATGATCATGATTCCTATGAGGTGGAAAAGGAACATATACTTTTTGTTCATGTGGAGAATTGGCTACCGAACTAAACTTGTACTTTCCTTAGGCATAAGATCCAAAAACTTATCCATTTTATTTTCAAGCTCAGGCTCAATCCCTTCATCTCGAAATGAATCAAATTTGAAATTTTCCTATAAAACAAAACACAAAATTTTTAATAGATATATCTAACTATTTAAAACTAAAGTAAGTCAACTTAAAAGATAACTAACCTTCATTTTCATAGCCCACCATTCATCGTTAGCACTTATAGTCCCTTTCACATGATCCCATCCTAGTCCCGTCTCTTTTGCTTTCAATTGTTTCCATAAGCTCCATCTATTTCTCATCCAATCCACCTTATTTTTGAGTTTATTTTTATCTCATGCCAAGTTACTTTGGTTGTTGAACTGTAATTCAATTTTTTTCCATATCAACATTTGAGAGGTAACTCCACCTTTTTTCCCCTTACTCTTTTCAACATATTGAATACAAAGGTCACAAAGTATGTAAAGTAATTCTTTTGACCAATTAACTCTATCTCCTTGATTTTCATCTTTGTTGTCATTTCTACTTCCTTGACTTGCATCCATATTCCTCGTTTAAGTTGGGGACATCTAAACATGAAAATATGAATGCAAAGTAGCATTTTAGATGAATAGAGTGAGCCATCCAGCAGCTGCAGTATGTAATAAGAAAATAACATTGACACAAGAGCCTTTTTATTTGCATTTTTTACTGTGTTGGAGCTGATTTTCATATATTCATAGGCATAGATTATTTCCCTGCAATTTTTACCATTCATCAATGTACTCTTTTGTTTCTTCATAATGTTAAACCAGAAATTCTCTCTGCTCTGCACCTAAATTGATAAATACCATATTTTAAGCTAAAATTAAGGAATGAGCCACTGACTAAAAAGTAAGAGTATTTAAGGAAATGTACTCCTTGTATGGTTATTATCATTTCAGAATAAGAACATTTGATTTCTATTCATATTGGAGTTTTGATTGTGACTCAAATATCAAGTATACCTTCAACTCAGATGCACAGAGAATTCAGATGCCACAAAGAGCATCCATTGCTAACTCCAGTATATTTACCAAAGTATTGGGAGTTTTCAATTCTGTAATTCTTTCCTCTATTCATTAATTTTTTTTTTTCCTTCTTATCAACTTAAACTAACAGTAGGTAAAAAATGGATTATGAGGTGCCTAGCTAAACTCAATACAAACACATAACACCCGGTCTGGTTGAATGGAGCAGACTAGTTTTCACTAGAAACAAACCAGTCTATAAATGAAGAAGGTAGGTTGCATTTATGTTTTCATTCTTTTGTATCCTTCGGTGGTGGAAATCACTTAGGAATATACAAGTGAATATACAACAAAGTCCCAGGATTTAAAGCATAAAAATGTCAACAAAAGAATACACTAGTGAATCGCCATTCAAAGCACCGTAAATATACAACAAAGTCACAGGATTCAAAACACAAAAATTTCATATTCATGTAGGAAAACACCTGGAAAAAAAATTAGAAATCGCACATCAGAAAACAAGGGATGCGTAACTCACAAAAACCCTAGGTTGAATATACGATCCACCAACCTTTGCCGGAAAGCTTGCCGGAGATAAAGGTATGATGAGTAGCATGTGAATAGTTTGTGGCCTGGGAGTAATATGAGACTGAGAGAAGCAGATTTGAGATGGAGTGAAGCAGATCCAAGAATGAGCTAGCTTGAGATCGAGAGATGTGATGAGAGAAATAAGGGCAAATTAGAACTTTGAAAAAAAAAAAAAAAAAAAAAAGTGAATCGCTATGCTTAAACGCTGCTCTTAGTAGCGTGTCAAATTTGACAGTTCGGATGACAATTCGTCAGGTGAAAAAGCTATTAACCAAACATCTTCTTTAGCAGTTTGACTTAGTCAAACCGCTAAAGATGGTCAAATCCGCTAAAAATCAACGGATCAACTCCTAACCAAACATGCCCAATATTATCTTTGCATCAGAAATGTTTGTTTACAAATAGAAAAAATTTCTTTAAAAATAAGTAGAGAATACATTTACTTATACAGTTGAAAAATAGAAAATAATGAATATAAAAAATGAAAATTTGAAGACATAAAAATTGGAGAAAATAGTAAAGTGAAGAAAGAAAAATAGAGAACTATTATCTCAAAAAAAAAAACAAAAAAAAAACAAAAAAAAAAAAAGAAGAGAATTATTCAATTTAGCAAGTTTACATATATGATCTATTCCCAATTTCCTTTATTAGCTAAATACAAGATAAGAGTCTTACAAAACCAATGAACATAATAACCTCATGGTGACCATAGAAAGATGCATGGTTGTCTCTCACCATATACTGTTGTTGAGTTAATTATATATTTAATCCTCCGATTATCACTCACTTTTCAATTTTAGTCTTTTAACTTTTAAAGCTACCAAATTTTAGTGTAAACCACAAGGTGTTCTGAGACTTTCTCCGTCCGTCTTACAATCCGGGTCCACCCGACTAATTCCCGTTCGATCCGGGAGGCATGGGAGCTAACCCAAGGGAATTGTCACTTTTGGATTCAATACTTAAAAAACTAAATTTGGTAGCTTTAAAAGTTAAGGACTAAAATTGGAAATGAGTAATAGTCAGATGACTAAATCCGGAATTAACTCGCTCTTGTTTTAGCAGTCACTAACAGTCTATCTTCAGGTCTTTAGGCCATCCAAATTCCTCCAAGAAGGCCAACACGACTCCATTTGACCACCCAAAACCAGTCTGCAATAAGCCAAAAAAAGTTAAAGGGGACTGCAATCAAGTTCCTTAGCATCACTGAAAGAAATGTTTTCTGTCCAAGTGGAAAGCAGAGATGGATATATACGACACGAAACGAAACTACCATTTTCGAAAATTGAAAGCTGTCTTACTTGGGATACATATTCGCCGCCACCTCCAAACTGCCCGCATTTCTCAACATCATACTTCTCGTACATTGCACCGGTTTTCTTGTACACTACGTAGTTAGTTCTTATCCACCTCCTCGCGATATCTTGGGCTAATGATCTTGCCTCCGCTGACCCGGACCTAGTAAGGCCTTCGACGATTATATGTTGAAGAGGTGCCCAACCATTAGGAAAGTCCCTGCTCGAGATCAAACTGTCAGCAATGTACAAAGAAACGTATTATTATAAATTTGATTACCATTGTTGTCCTGTATTCGACAATGTCATTGCGATTCCAGCCGGAAGAAGCAGTCCCGAGCTTTGAAGGCTTTGGATAGTCTTCTGAACTGTCATTTTATCTGCAAACGTATAAAACGCTCATTTTATTTGCTCAATGTACCCATTGTGTTCTTACTTTCTATTTTCCAAAAGAATATTGTATAGACATAATTCGAATCACTGTTCTGACAGAGTTTCTAAGGAGTTTTTTCCCGAAATGGTCCTTCGACTATTGCTCATTCTCAATTTTACATTTCGACTTTCAATTGCATCAAATATGGTCCTTCGACTTTCAAAAACTCACCCAATTCAGTCCTCCGTTAGGTATTCCGTTTACTCAAAGTTAAAATGGAGGGCATTTTGGTCCGTTCACCTATTTTGTGCCTAATACACTCATCCATAGTCCCTCGACTATTGCTGAGTGTATTAGGCACAAAATAGGTGAACGGACCAAAATGCCCTCCATTTTAACGCTGAGTAAACGGAATACCTAACTGAGGACTGAATTGGGTGAGTTTTTAAAAGTCAAGGGACCACATTTGGTGCAATTGAAAGTCGAAATACGAAATTGAGAATGGACAATAGTCGAGGGACCATTTTGGAAAAAAACTCGTTTCTAAGAAAATTGACAGTTCCAAATAGCATACTAACCTTTGTTAAACAAATCGATCCATAAGGGAACGAAGTTTGAAGCAAACGGTTTTTTGTTCTGATTCAAACTATCCCACTTATAGACACCCTAAACCGTCAAAGACACGAAACAAACATGAGATAAAACTCGGTTGTAACCAACCAACACAATGCGAGATGTAAAAACATGTGTGCATCACCTCGCATGCAAATTTGCTATTGCCGAGCCAGTAATCGTACCACTGTCCCGTCTCTGTGTCCCAGAAAATAGAGTTGATTGCACTTTTTCTAGCTTGTGAAGCCTCGTTAAAACGTTCAACTATGTGATTTTCTCCGATAATGCTTGCTAGAAAGACTATATCGAGTTCCAACTGGGCCAGGAAATCCAACAACACTCATTGGGTGACAGAAACTAGTATAGAGACCAATTTTCAGACACCATTCAGAATCTTACCTTAAGAATGAACGCATTAAGATCCACCGGGAGAACGGAAGTTGTAGCTAGTGTTGTGAGATCGAATCCGTCCCTGCAATGAGTGGGTTGGTCGTATAGATCAAGCTCAGAATACTATTGGCAAGTCCATATTTCATAAGGGACAAAGTAGAAAGCACAATAATAAGGGACAAATAAAGTCAGGAAATTTGCGTTACCTCATCCATCTTGAACTAAAATCCCATCCAGATTCAGCAGTTGTTGCAATTTCGCGGTACAAGTGTTTTTTCTCACAGGCACTTGAAAGTTTGGAAGCTGTTCCCGTGTCCTGTGGCATTCTATTTATCAGATGACAGAACAAATTATGGAAGCCCTCATTTGTGTAATTTGACATTCAAATTTTTTTTTTTTTTTTGGGTGATTAGGGAAAAACCCGCAACCACTACTTGAGGGTGTGCACTGGGTAAACCCCGCCTTGTAACCCTAGCAGGCAAAGGACAACAAGGAGGTAAACCAGTCTAGGTCGCGCATAGCTGACCGTTTCAAACCAAGAAGGTCAATAAGCCGCACCCACTAGGAGTTGAAATTGGAACCTTATGGTTACCAAGCTAACAGCCCGACCAACTTGGTCGGGGATGCCCCCAACATTCAATTTTTTTTGCAATGTAAGTTGGATGGTCATACAATTGTTGAAGATTCCGGTCGGGGTTTGTTCCACATTGCATAGTACCGACTTAAGCTGTGATTCACTCCTCGAGCATCCTGAATGATCACTTTATGTATACCTTTAAATGAAATTGGACCATAAATGCAAATTAGCGAACTTAACAATGGGGATAACAAGCAATTAAACAAAAGTCCAAAGAAGACATTAAAATACAAATAATCAGCATACATATTAGTACCTGAATTCCAAAACTCATGCTCCTTAAGCAGTGCAGGAAGAGACGTTTTTATCAGGTCCATATCACCCGTTCGTTTGTATATCTCAACAACCATTGAACTCAAAAGTGGAGGCTGGCTGCACCAGTCACTTAATAAAAGTTATTTCATCTTCTAGAGCGGGAGGAAGCAAAACAGGATATGAAGCTCAAAGGATCTCATGGTATCAATAACGGTAAACATTTGAGTAGATTATAGTATTTACATATGATTAACAAATGCACAATATACTAAGAAATAAACAAGGCAAAACAACATTTATGTTCCTCTCAGTAGAATGTATGATGCATCTAACGGTAAACAAGTAACATTATCTGAACATCTAAAAATAAATGCTAACGAGACTCACCTTCTGTTACTGTAGTATGCCCGTGCACCATTAAGAACGTAACCGAATTGATCGATAAGTGAAATAAGATTAGCAACAATTCCTTTTGCAGTTTCATACATTTTGCCTGCTAACAAGCCCCTGCATTGCAAATGTGTCAACCCATGGAACAATTTTGGAAAACGGATTTAAGAAACTAGGATCATAAGGAGCCCATGAATAAGTTAAAGCAGTCAGTAAAATAATATCTTGAACAATATTCCAATTTTTGGTGGTTCTCACCTGAACCCTAAATCCAACATAAAGACAAATTTCCAATCATTTAGTGCTTTTGGGGACCTAATCTTCTAGTTTGATCTAATAAGAATAAAAAGGAGAAAAGAACTGAAAGTCTGAAACTTTTGCACTTCTTGAGGGGTTGTAGTGGGTGGCATTATACTTAGATGCTACACATCAACCCAAATTCATTATCAAAGCTTTTCAAATTCATTGATCATGTATGCCATTTAAAATTTAATATAAAAATGCAATCTTTTCACTAGAAGGTTGCTTGGTCAACTTGCAATTTACCTCCTCCAGCGTTTCTTGGACGGGGTTTTGGGGGATTAAAAAAAATGTAATCTTGCCGGCATGAGCTTAGCTCAATAGTTCAGTAGACAAACACTATTTGGGAGAAGAAACCAAAGTTCGAACTTCAACGGCGACAGTGTGAGGATTATGCCCAAAGTGGGCCTCTGTCTGCTGTGTCATTGAGTCACCGTGATTTACATTCTCCCAAATACCTTGTCGAGCTGGGCTGTGGGGAGCCATTGGGGATTGGGGATTCAACCTTTTGGGAGAAGAAAAAAGGGCAATCTTTTGAAGTGAACAAACCTGATGACCCAATAAGAATCCCAGTAATAAACCTCTTGAAACCGTGATCCTGGGATTATAACCGGATTCTTCAAAGGCAGCAATGTATGGAAACTGGGCCTCTCCAGAACTTGATCACCCACCTTCCTACTCAAATTCTTCCAGAGAAGATGGAGCTCCAGACCCCATTTCCTCACCTCAGGGTTCTCTACTTTGCTCAAGAACCCTTCTGGCTCACCCACGAAGTCCACCGGCTCAGCATACACCAAATCCTTATCAGGACCAACCAAATACTTACCCATAAACCCCTCCAGCTCCGATCTATGAATTGACCCGTTCCCCGTTCTCGTAAGACTCTGAAACGCCTCTACAGTCCTCGAAAGCTCTTCCTTTAGCGCCATGTCCACGTATTTCTTCGGGTCAAACCCATCGTGCCCATAAGTCTTTAGAGCCGCTTCCTGTAGCCTTTCAAGAAACGTCACCAATGGGGTTGTGGGCACTACCGGGCCGGAGTCGGCCGGAATACAGTTCGGCGACGCTTGTGTTGTCTCGATTCCGGACATGGCTATGATTAAGAAGAACAATATGAGAACCCGTACGTATTGCAGAAAAGTAGCCATTTTTAATGGAATTTAGGTCTCAACAAGAACATACACTCCACGATAATTTATACCTCGTTTGAGCACAGAAAATTGGGGAAGACGACAAGAACAACGGCTAGGGTCCAGAATATCTTAAGGTCTCGCTGTCTCAGTTGAATAGCTTGACTCGCTGACTAGGCTCCAAGTTTTCGATGCTTGCGATGAACAAATTACAGAGTATTTTTGCGTTTTTCGTATAGTTTTCGGTGTATGTTTGAATGTTTCTTCCTGGAATCACTTTCCTAAATCATAATGCTCTGTAAAGTTCAAGATTCGCACTTCCAGTCCTTTTAAAATTTCTTCTCCCAAAAGTCCTTTTAAAAAGTTCTTTGTGCTGTCTTGGTTGGTAAAGATTCGCAAATCTATACCTTTTTTTTTGTTTGGCAACATTCTTGATAGTGTGATCTTCAGTTCCACAGGGCATAGGTTGTTTGGTTGGATGTACTTGTAATTCAAGAGTTAATTATCGAAATAGTCCCTTGATTATAACGAAATTATTAATTTGGTCCTTGATTATTTTTTTGGTCAATTAAGTCCCCCAACTTTAAAAACCGTAACTAATTTGGTACTCCGTTTGTTTGACCATTAGTCAACCGTTAAATTGGGACCAAATTGGTAATTCGCTATAATCAAGGGACCATTTTGGTAATTAACTTTAAGGGTCTGCAATACGGTTCAGTTTTCTCAAATCGAACCGTATCAAACTAGTTAGATTCGGTAATATACCGAACAACCGAACGGTAATAGTTCTTGTATACCGAACGGTTCGGTAAAAATTGAACCGAACCGAATACCATTTGAACTTTGGATTGCTATTTTGTTATATATTAGACTTTGGATATGGACTATGTAAACATCATAACACATAATATAAAACGTTTGATAACAAACCATAAAGAAATCAAATAAAACATTTACGAGAGATACCCGCGAGAATATGAGCTGAACGGCAGAGCAAGCAGCAAGTGACTTAGATTTATTTATTTATTTATTTATTTATTTATTATTATTATTATTATTATTATTATTATTATTATATTTAAAAAAAAAAAAATCAAACGGTATTTGATTCAGTTCAATTTTTTACCAAACAATTCGGTATACAAGAATCCAATATCGTTCGGTTGTTCGGTATATTACTTCGGCTCGGTTCGGTACGGTTCGATTCGAGAAAACTAAACCGAATTGCCCACCCCTAAAGTTAATTACCAAAATGGTCCATTGACTATAGTGAAATTACCAATTTGGTCCCAAGTTAACGGTTGACTAACGGTCAAACTAACGGAGGACCAAATTGGTTAAAATTTTTAAAGTTGAGGGACTTAATTGGTTAAAAAAAATAGTCAATGACCAAATTGGTAATTTCGCTATAGTCAAGGGACCATTTTGGTAATTAACTCTGTAATTCAATTACAACTTAATTCTTTGGTTTCCTGAATTACGTGATTGGTGGGAGGGAATTGCAATTCTTTATTTTGTTGAATTGCAATTCATACCTTCTCCATTTGAATTGCAATTCAATAATGAAAGGAGAGGTAAAATGAAGGAAGATGTCTTTTTTACTCTTGACTAGTATTTTCACCCGTGCGATGCACAGAATGGAATTATTGTAATATATTAAAAATATTTAAATCCATATATAATTATTTAAGAGTTAATTTCACTAGAGGTCGTTTATCTTTCTTGACAATTTCAATTTTAATCCGAGACTATAGTTATTAATTATTACGATTTATTCTATGTTATAATTCTTAAGTTAATATTATTACTATTATTATTAACACTTAATTACTTTTAGATATTATTATTACCACTTATATTATTATTATTATTATTATATTATTATTATTATTATTAGTTTCTTTTCAAGTTCTATTAGTATATAATGGCCGTGAGGCACAATAATAATATAACCATAATTAAATATTATTGTATTGTATTCCGTGAGTCACAATAGTAATATAACAATAATTACATATTCTTCAATTCTATATTCTTCTAGGATTTTTATCACCATCATTAATTATTTCCTAATTTACCACAATTAAATAATTTGACCAATTATACAGAAAGATTATTAAATAATGCAGGGGACAATTTTTTAATAAAATTTTTTTAAAATTCATTAATAAAATATAACGTTCTCATAGTTTTTTCTTAGAAACTATTTAATAAAGCATTTTTTTAGATATTGGTGGGCCAAACCGCCTACGGCAGTTTGCGGTGGATAGATCTCGAAAAAATACGCGATTTCAAAAAAAAACATTTGTCCAAAACGGACAATCGAGTCAAAAGTTATGCCGTGCCGAAGTTTTGACACATTACAACTTAAAAAAAAAAAAAAATTAATCTCCGGTTCACCCGGCGAGGTGGCCGCGGAAGAGGCCGATTCCGGCCTTCATCGCCGCGGCCAGCGGCGCGATTTTTGCAACACTGATATATATTATAGATATAGATTAGAATAGGAATAGTATTACACTATTTTATAATATTAGGAAGAGAGATTAGGCGGGAAGTTAAAATTTCAGGATTTTGTTTCCCGCCCAATTTAAAATTTCAGGATTTTGTTATAGTATAGAAGTATAGATTGATTGATTACAATAGGAATTGTATTACAGTATTTTATAATATTAGAATAGAATTTTAACGCAGAATTATTGTACGAATGGGAAAGTAGAAATCAATATATTTTATTAGGAAGAGAGATTTTTTAGGAATTGAGCGGGAAGTTAAAATTTTAGGATTTTGTTAGTATATATAGTATAGAGTATAGATTAGATTGATTGATTACAATAGGAATTGTATTATAGTATTTTATAATATTATAATAGAATTTTAACGCAGAATTATTGTACGAATGGGAAAGTAAAAATCAATATATTTTATTAGGAAGAGAGATTTTTAGGAATTGGGCTGGAAGTTAAAATTTTAGGATTTTGTTATTATATATAGTATAGATTATTAGAATTATTATTACACAAGGAAATTTTAGTCTTTATTCTACTTCTTCCATTTTTATTTCTAATTATTCTATTTATCCCTACCAAATAATGTAATTTGAATTCCTACTTTTGATTAAATTATGTTTATCACAATATTTAAAATATGATATTAAAATTTACAATTAGATTATTTTCTAACTTAACATATTGTAATCATAAACACATATTAAAATTTAAAATTAAATTATGTTTATCACAATATTTAAAATGAACCGATTTAGGTACAAGAAAATAAAATTTTAGTTGGACTAAAGATCTATTGAAAACATACTACATTGTAAATAATCATGATTCATGAGTATTTCAAAAAAAAAAAAAAAAATCTATTGAAAGCAAAACATGATCAACAAGGTGTTTTGTTGGAAAAAAAAAAAGAATTAAGGAAAAAGAAATTATAATTCTGTCAAAAAAAAAGGTTTGAATAAAATAAGAATTCAAATTACAATGTTTGGTAGGCAAGAATATAATTTATGGGAATTATAAGGAAACGATTAAAATGTCCTTGATGATGATGATAAAATCAAGGGTAAATGGGTAATGTTGTAATTCCATTTTTTTTTTCTCTTTCCATGCTGCACCAAATTGGAACTCATACGAAGGCCCTATGAATTTCAATTTCACAAAGAGAGGGAATTGTAGGTCTGCGGAATTGTACAATTCCCTCCAACCAAATAATGTAATTGTGTTCTGCAAAGAATTAGATTATAATTGAATTACAACTACAGCCTACCGAACATGTCCATACAATTTAGGAAATATATATATATATATATATATATATATATATATATATATATATATATATATATATATATGTGTGTGTGTGTGTGTGTGTGTGTGTGTGTGTGTGTGTGTGTGTGTGTGTGTGTGTGTGTGTGTGTTTGTGTGTGTGTGTGGGCGGCGGGAGGGAATTTGGTTCTTATTAATAACAATAAATACTAGTTATAATATGTGCATTGCATGATTAAATTAATTTTCAACATAAAAATTAGAATAAGTAAATATTTAATATAAATTTTAAATATGAAAGTTAATTAATATAAATAAAAATGATTAAACTCTATATAATCAAAATGAGTATTTTAATCTATATCTATACTATATATAAAAACAAAATTCTCAATTTTAACTTCCCGCCCAAAACAGTCATATACTATTAAAATTTGTGTAATAGTGTAATACAATTCCTAATAAAATATATTGTTTTCTACTCTTCTATTCTTACTATAATTCTACATTAAAATTCTTATTCTAATCTATACTTATCTATACTTCTATATAAAAACAAAATCCTACATTTTAACTTCCCGCTCAAAAGACTCATATTCGTACTACAACTGTACATTAAAATATGGTAATATAATTCCTAATACAATATATTTTTTCCTACTTTCCTATTCCTAATTAAAATTACTAATAATAATCTATATAACTAATAAAAATAAAATCCTACTTTTGCAACTTCCCGTCCAAACACTTAATAATAATAATAAGGAATAATGAAAAATGTATAAAAATAAAATCATCCATTTTAACTTCCCGCCCAAAAGACTCATATACTATTAAGGTTTGCATAATATTCTAAAAATATGATAATACAATTTCTATTCGTATTACAATTGTACATTAAAATATGGTAATATAATTTCTAATACAATATATTTTTTCTTACTTTCATATTCTAAATATAATTCTAGATTAAAATTACTAATACTAATCTAAATCTATGTCTATCTACATCTACATTCTATTTCTACATCTACATCTACATCTACAATTCTAATAAGAGCCAATAATGTTAGGCCCTTAACTGGAATAAAAAAAAATGTCGGTACTACTTGTTTCTTAAAATGAATGGTTCACAGTATTTTGATTTTAGTATTTTTTTAATGATTTTCCTTATTTACCCTTTATTATATTATTTTTTTTCCTTAAATAACCTTAAATTCCGTTAGTATAAACTTTATCTACAATTCTAATAAGAGCCAATAATGTTAGGCCCTTAACTGGAATAAAAAAAATGTCGGTACTACTTGTTTCTTAAAATGAATGGTTCATAGTATTTTGATTTTAGTATTTTTTTAATGATTTTCCTTATTTACCCTTTATTATATTTTTTTTCCTTAAATAACCTTAAATTCCGTTAGTATAAACTTTATTAATGGAATATTCTATATCATTAACTATTTATTATTATTAACTTACTCATTAATTTCAATAAGAAAGGTCTTAGGTTCGAATCTCATTCCAATTAGAGTTAACATAATTGTTAAACAT